TCCTGCCATTTCAGATGAGCTGAGAAATCCCAAAGCGGTCTGTCCCCTGGCCCCCTTGCATTATCTCCAACCTGCCCTCCTTCAGCTCCTTCTCTGCCAGACCCTGAGAACTTGGCTCCAGAATGCTCCATGAAGTACTACCTCCATTCTCTGGTCTTCCCAGAACCTGACTCTGGTTTCTCTCATTGACATTGGCTTTGTCTTGCCTCCTGGTACTGGAAAATAGGGGTGGATTAGAATGGGTCTTTTTGTAAATTAATTAATGTTTGTAAGGTGCTTAGAACAACGACTGGCATTTTAAGTACAATGTAAGTGTTTGTTATCATCTTCAGCCCCATTATCCTAATGATCATCTACTACCTGCTTAGTATAACACATTCTGACCACTTAAGCCAGCCTTCCCAATGCCTTGGGATAAAGTCCCAAATCCATAGCATAGCTCTTGTTAGGCTCTCCTAGGTCATCTCCTATGACTCTCCCCCTTGTGATCCAAGACACCTGGACTTCCTTTAAGCTTACAAATATGCCAAGCTCTCTAGACCTTGGCCCAGCTGTATTCTCCACTGAAGAGTTCTTTGTTACCTATCCCCCTCACCTTCCAACCCCCATCCCCCCACAAATCTGTCTTTCCATTCTCAGTTGGACTCTAAGCCTCATGAGAATAGGGGCCATATTTAAAGACACATTGCTGTATCCTCAGTGCCCAACACAATGTTTTCAATGAACAGGAGCTCAAAAACCTACTAAATTGCATTGAATTGAATCAAAATGGACTGAAAAATGATGATGACATTGATGTCAGCGAAAGCAATGACCTTAAAGCTAAATATGCTATTATTTATTTACTATACATGCCATGACCGATTCAAAACCAAATTCAGTAATAAAAAGATGACGAACAGAGGAAACAGATAACAGAATAAATGGTTTCTTGTCCAACAGCATCTACAACTATTGCTATCCTAAAAGAAGACAGTAATTAAAGCTGAAAGGAGGAGATGAGGCTCAAGGCATTACGGATCAATGCTAACAGGCAAGTTACTCATCCCTGCCTGGTCAACCCAGAGGTTGAACTTTGCCCTGTGCACAAGCATATTGCCTGGCACTATTGGTGATGTCATTTGAGGACTTTTGAGAATGTCCTTGCCAACCCAAACAAATCTGAAATGACCACCGAGGGAAGTAAAGGTAGTAACAGCTCACCTGCCTTTTCCCAATGACAGTTTCTGTCTACCAGGACCCAAGGATCAACCAACTTCCAGTCAATAAGGACCTAGCCAATCCCTCTCTCCGCCTGCAACAGCTCACTGAGTAACTGCAGTTTCCACGATGAGCACTGGAGGGCTTGCCCCACTTGATCCATCAGGGCTTGGTCATTCTTCCCAGTTTTCTTTTCTTTTTTTTTTTTTTTTTAAAGATTTTATTTATTTATTTGACAGAGAGAAATCACAAGTAGGCAGAGAGGCAGGCAGAGAGAGAGGAGGAAGCAGGCTCCCTGCTGAGCAGAAAGCCCGCTGTGGGGCTTGAACCCAGGACCTGGGATCATGACCTGAGCCGAAGGCAGCGGCTTAACCCACTGAGCCACCCAGGCACCCCTCTTCCCAGTTTTCAACACTGAGAGCTTTTTACCCACTGTGGGGCGTGAAGAAGTCATCAAGAGAAGCCTGGTAGAAAAATTCAACTTCAGGTACCACTGAAGGGAAAAGACAATTGCTCCTTTCAACTGAGATAATCAAGAAGGTGAGAATTTTCTAGAAATTGGTGGTATTTAAGTGGTACCCTCCAGACACACTGATTTGTTTGGTTTTCTCCTGGCATTTGATGTCTTCTTGGCAATTTTATTGAGATATATTTCATATACCATACATTTAACACATTTAAACTGTATAATTCTGGGTTACCTGGGTGGCTCAGTCATTAAGCGTCTGCCTTTGGCTCAGGTCGTGATCCCAAGGTCCCGGGATTGAGCCCCACATTGGGGTCCCTGCTCAGCGGGAAGCCTGTTTCTTCCTCTCTCCTTCCCCCTGTTTGTGTTCCCTCTCTCGCTGTGTCTCTCTGTCAAAAATATAAAAAGAATATTTTTAAAAGTAAAAAATAAAAAAAAATAAACTGTACAATTCAGTGGTTTGCTTTTGTTTTTTGTTTTTTTGTTTTTGTTTTAAGTAGGCTCCACACCCAGCATGGAGCCCAACAAGGGCCTTGAACTCACGACCCTAAGATCAAGACCTGAGCTGACATCAAGAGTCAGACACTTAACCAACTGAGCCACCCAGATGTCCCCAATTCGGTTGGTTTTAATGTATTCACAGAACTGCCTAGCCATCACCCCGACCTAATTTTAAACTGTTTTCATCACTCCAAGAAGAAACCCTGTACTAGTGAGCAGTCACTCCCCTTCCAGAGAACACCTGTCCCTCTTCAGCCCTGGACTAATCTACTTCCTGTCTCCATAGATTCTCCTGTTATGGATATTTCATATAAATGGAATCGTACAATATATTCTTGTCTTTTGTGACTGACTTCTTATACTTAGCACAGTGTTTTCAAGGTATATCCATTTCGTAGGGTGTATGAGTACTTCATGTTTTTTATTACCACATAATATTCTACTGCATGACTATGCTACATTTTATCCATCTGTTTATCAGTTGATGGACATTAGGCTGCTTTTTTTTTCTTTTTTGCTATTATAAATTAAGCCACGAACATTTGTGTACAAGTTTTTTCTGTGAACATATGTCATTCCCCTTGGGTATATATACACAGATTTATGTACCGAATTGCTAGGTCATATGCTAACTCTATACTTAACATTTTGAGAAACTTCCGAACTGTTTTCCAAAGCAGCTGCACCATTTTACATTCCCACCAGCAGTGTCTAAGGTTTGCACTTTCCTCCCGCTGTGGTTTCTGATACAGCCAAGTATGCAAGGGAAAGACATAGCATCCTGAGCCAGAGCTAGCATGAAATCAACACCGCAGCCAAGATGAAGAAAGGGCTGAGAATGTTCCTTTACCTCCACACCTGGAGGCTGGAAGCTGAGGCTGATGTAGCAAGTTGTCCAAGAGGACTTGGACAAGTCCTCTTCTCTCTCCAATTGGAGAATTTTAAGGATTTATGGTAAGGGGAAGGTGGCAATGTCAGGAAAAAAAAAATCTTTTCAAAGTGATTCACCATTTTCCAGCCAGACTCGTTAGCAACAAATATGTGTGTAAAAGTGGGCTAATATCTATAAACAGGAAAATTTTAGGGGCAAAAAACTTTTTCCTTGAAAAGGTTATGAAAAAGACTTCTAGATTCCCAGGGGTCTTCACGGGTGCCTAAAACAAAATCTCTCCACACATTTCCAGAAACCAAACAGATCAGAAGGGGGAGCAAATTAAACCATCCACAATCTCACCTAGATGGAGACATAGATGTAATTTTTGGTACATACAAGGTGCTCAGTGTCTGTCCAATTAGTGAATTAGTGAATACATAAATGAATGGCAACACTACAGAGGAAATGAACCTATGAAGGATGGTTAAAATGACAGAGGACAGATCCAACCAGTTTTCCACAAGAGAATGCGGTTCTGTGAATAAAGAAGTTTATTTAGCTCACATCTCAAATAATTGTGTGCTTTTCCTCCAGACAACTGTCCTACTTATGTGTGCAGTACAGGTGCTGTATGTATGTGTGCTTTTCAGCTCATTGCACAGAATATTTTTCCACTCAAGTGTTGAGACTTCACAAAATTAAGCATTTTGCTGTTTCATCAGGGACGTTCATGAGTGAGCTGGTGGTGATAATCCCTATCCTGATTCATGCTTAGGCACCAGCAGTTTTACTCATCGTTGCTTCTGTGCCATCACTGCAAATGTTCACGGACTGGCAAAGACAGTGTTTTAGTATTATTATGAACGTAGTTTTGACTTTGAGGATCCCATCAGAGGGTTTGGGGGATTCCCAGGAGGCCATGGACCACACCTGAAAATCAATACTCCAGATATAATCTGAATAAAGCAGAATACAAGAAGGATTTTCACCTCCCTTCTTCTTGATCCCATGTCTTTCTTAATTTGGCTTAAGACTGCATTCATTTTTCAAGGAACCGTGTCATCTGATTGGTCTGCATTCAGCAGTTAACATGAAAAAAATATTGGAAGGTGTAATGCCCCGGGGAGCAAATAACATCTTCGTAGAAATAATGCCTAAGCTCAGTCTTGACAGAGAAAAGATGTTTTCCAGGTGAATAAGGTAAGCGAAGAAGGGCACTGTGGACAGGAGGAGACGCTTGGGCAAATAACACAGAATGAGCAGGCTGGAGTGCTGTGAGAGTGAGGAATCCATGTGCAAGGTGCAAGGGTGCCAGAGGATGTCATGGACAGGGCGGGAGTGAGGTCAGCACTGGGGACAGGAAATGCACATGAATTCCCAAGAGTTTTTCCCTGTCATTCAACAAAGGTAGTCTGGGGTTTTTTGTTTCTGGTTTTTGGGGGTTTTTTTTGCCCTGGATGCTCATGTTAATCCCCATCCCCCAGGGAAGCAAGATGGACAGAGGGACAGGTTCATTTAAGGAAGTTGGGAGAAGTTTGGGTCTTCATTCCTGACAATCTGTGTTTTGGAATAGGTCCTTTCTCTGCCTCAAGACAAACTTCTCGGAAGATGTCTGTGAGAGGCACCCAGGCCTGCCCATCATGTAGTAAGGGTAAGTGTTCCCCCCTCCAAATCAGCCCCTGAGCATCAGGGATAAGGAGAGGACTCCCGCACCCCCCCCCCCACACAACAAAGATTATTTCTTGGCCAAGAAATAATCACCACCTACCAGTTTCCCCCATTATTAGAAAACAATAAAAATCTCAACAAAAGAGAGCCATCTCCTCTGAAGATCCATCTCCCCCTGGGCCGCTTTCTATAGGCCTGTCTCCAAGTCCTCAACACCTAGTATGACAGCACACAGTAGGGAACAACATGTGTTTGGGGAATGTATGAGCACAGCATTCAAGATACTAGAGCTTTCAGAAATCGATATATTTACTTCATTATTTACTGATCAGTCAAGTGCATACAGATGTCCCTGAGTCACTTTAAGTCCTATAATTCATTGCGGGATCATGAACGTGTTGGCTCATCCCTCTGGCTGAAAGTCCTTGGGGATACTCAAGTCCAGTGTGGCTTCTCCACTTTCAGCTGCTCCTCCTGCTCTGCCCAGTCACCAGTCCTTCCTGGATGCTTTCCCTCCCTTTGCTACCCCCTCTTCCCTCCCAAATCTGTAGGGTTTGGTAGATTCAGACAGAACTTGCTTAGTAGCCTGGTGACCTTGAAATGGAGTTCAACCCGTCCGTGCTTCCACCTGCCCATCGGCAAAGGAGGTCTCCCTAACCGTGGTACCCGGCCACGGCAGTGCAGCGGGCTCCCTGAGCTGGCTTCTGCAAGAAGGGCCTGGCCTGCGTTAGAGCTCAGTGCTCCTCACTGCAGCCCTGGCAGGTGGGCGGAGGCATCACTGCACTGGAGATGGGGAAACCAAGGCTGAAGCAAGCCAGGTAAGTTGCCCCAAGAACAAACTGTATGGAGTTGGGATGTGACCCAGCCTGTTTCTCCACAGGTATCAGGGTCACCATACCCCACAAGAATGCTTGCTCCCCACCTCCCTCCTTGCCTCTCTGCCTCCACCCTTCCTTCCAAGATGGTGGCAAAGCAGGGAAGAGCCAGCATGCCAGATCACAGGTTCACAGAAGCCTGCACACTTGGGCGTCCTCTGGAGCTGCTCTGCCCTTCTTCCTTGTTCCATGCGGCCCGTGTTTCACCACTTCAGGGACACTAAAGACTCCCTGAAGGCATGGACCAGGACTTCATGGAAGGACAGCGCCTGGAGGAACGGCTGCTTGGTGGAGTGCTGGGCATGGTGGAGCCATGAGGGTTCAGGGACAACAAGCAAGATGGGACGGGCCCGCACACTACCTGGGCCCGACGAGGAGTGCGCCAGAGAGACATGCGGAGCACTGTGGGCAGGGAGGAAGGAGCGGTAGAGGATAGCCTCCTCAGGGAGGGGACATTTACTTGCACCCCCATGTACCCTGCCCTGCATGAAGCTCTTCAACTTCCTCATACTTAATCTTCACACGGGAGGACGCTGAGCTCAAAGACAAGACCCTTGAAAAGCTGCAGAACTGAGATTCAAATCCAGACCTGACTGGTTCAAAAACCCATGCCCTGTCCTCTCTGGACAGCCGGAGGGGATGCCCACTCTGGGTCTCCAAGGACAACATCCAGAATACATGTGGCACCTTCAGAACAAAGTGACAAAATGTATTCTTCCCCAAACCTCCCATGGCAACGGCCAGGAAAGCGAACATAAAGGATGCTGGGAACACACACGTGGCAAGAAGAGCTGGCTGAACTGACGTCAGTTTCTCCTACCCCTGATTTCAGCCAACGAGGCCAATGGATATTCCAAAGCAGCTGCTGCTGCTGAGTTCCAGGAGAAGCAAGGTCTCTGCACTTCAATGTCTTCAGGACAGCTTCATTCTCTAGGCCCCAGTGTCTCAGTTTTGTTTTTTATACTGTAAGGCAGAGAGATCATTAGAAGTGGGTGAGGGAAGCCAATGGGGGAGGGAGGACCTAGGAAATCCTGAGAACCATATTCTTTGGAACCCTAGCTGCCTCCTGGGGGCTTCTCGGAGGTGATGAGGCAGCCACCAGACAGTCAAATCTCTAGCTGGCACACAGGGACCCTTTCTTCCTTAATGGAAAAGGAACCTGACAGGGTAGGAGGGCATACATAAGAAAGACAAAGAAGGGCGCCTAGGTGGCTCAGTTGGTTAAGCAACTGCCTTCAGCTCAGGTCATGATCCCCGAGTCCGGGATTGAGTCCCACATTGGGGTCCCAGCTCCGTGGGGAGTCTGCTTCTCCCTCTGACCTTCTCCCCTCTCAAGCTCTCTCTCACTGTCTCTCTCTCAAATAAATAAATAAAATCTTTAAAAAAAAAAAAAAAAAAGACAGACAGACATGGGAATGTCAGACAGGAATGTGGGGTGTGCCCATCCTGTTCTTTAAGCTACATCTTGGTTCAAAGAAAAGAAAAATCTCAGGTAGAGGAAGACCCTCAGAAGTTATCAAGTCCAATCATTGAGTTTTAAAAATGAACCCCGGCCCCCACATCTGGAGATCCTGATTTAGAAGGATGGGGGCATGGGGCACGCTCCACCCAGCTCTCTGGGTTGTTCTAATACCAGTGGGTAAGGACCAGCAAGTTAATTTGTATTCCTGACTCCCTCCCTTCCTCTACCAAAATAGATGCTTGAATGTTTCCTCAATAACCCTACCTCACTATGAATACCCCTGGCTATGGGGAGCTCACTACACCCCAAAACAGCCTTCCCATCTGAGCCATCACAAGGCTGCTGCTAGTTCAGGCACTATTGCTTCCAAGAAGACCTTTCTCTTCCTTCTTCCTGCTACCCCGCCTTAGCTTATTCAGCACTGTTGGTGTTAGGGACTCAGAACTCCCCACCCCTGACAGAAAACAGATGCAACCAGAAAGGCATCTACCACCACCTCTGGGCTTCTGGAGGAAGGGAGTGGCTGGCTGGGGCCGTAGGGTGCCTCTGCCTGGCTGATCAGGCTCACGTGTGGGGCAGGGGCGACCCCTGGTGGCCACAGGGATTACTGCTGTCAAACCCCCCAGAGGGTAGGAAGAGCAGGGAGCCAAGCACTTACTTTGTTCATGATCCAGTCTGCATCTTCAATGGCTCTTTTAATAATCTGCTGGATTCTCTCAGGATTGTCTTCATCTGAATGAACCCGGAAACTCTGGAAGTTTAAGCATTAAAAAAAAAGACGACAAGACAAAATTCGCAGGACCAGCATCTTCAGAGCACCAGGCACAGGCCAGACACACCATGGCCACTTCCCACTGGGCATGGCTCTTAGCCCTCCAGGGACAGTTAGAAGGATCTGTCCTACAGATGAGGAAAGAGGCCTGGATGCCCTAACCAGCCACTGTGCATGGCGGCGGCATTCAAATCCCAGTCCATTCTAACTACACAGCCTGTCCTCCTACCTGCAGAGCAGCAGCAATATGGAAGACTGGCCCCCAAGGTACCCCAAATCAGGCTGGGCCCAAAGGTGATCAGGCAGCAGGGGCCCAAAGAAACTTCCATCTCTCGGTTCCATTTGCTCCCTGCAAGGCATGATAGGAAGGAACAGTGCTGGAAGGCCAAGCAGAGTGGGGGCAGGGGACGAGTGACTAGAAACTCCAGCCAGGCCCAGTGCAGAGCAGCATGGGGCTGCTGTTTGCCTTTGACCAGAGAAGGAATGTGAGATTCAGGTTCACTGGTGTGGCATCAGAGCACTTCACAAGGGTACCTGGTACCTCTTCTGCCCGGTCACTCTCGACCTATTTGTCTTCAGGAGCACCTCAAATGCTCATGCTGTGAAGCCCTCCCTGACGTCCTCAGACAACTAGCTGCTTCCTCCTCCATATTTTCACAACCTGGCTGTTGCTACCTTGACTTTTTTTTTTTTTTTTTAACTTTCCCATTTACTTTTGTATTCATTTAAGTTTTTTATTTTTTTAATTTTTTAATTTTTTTTTAATTTTATTTTTTATAAACATATATTTTTATCCCCAGGGGTACAGGTCTGTGAATCGCCAGGTTTACACACTTCACAGCACTCACCATAGCACATACCCTCCCCAATGTCCATAACCCCACCCCCCCAACCCCCCTCCCCCCATTAACCCTCAGTTTGTTTTGTGAGATTAAGAGTCACTTATGGTTTGTCTCCCTCCCAATCCCATCTTGTTTCATTGACTCTTCTCCTACCCCCTTAACCCCCCATGTTGCATCTCCTCTCCCTCATATCAGGGAGATCATATGATAGTTGTCTTTCTTCGATTGACTTATTTCGCTAAGCATGATACCCTCTAGTTCCATCCACGTCGTCGCAAATGGCAAGATTTCATTTCTTTTGATGGCTGCATAGTATTCCATTGTGTATATATACCACATCTTCTTTATCCATTCGTCTGTTGATGGACATCTAGGTTCTTTCCATAGTTTGGCTATTGTAGACATTGCTGCTATAAACATTCGGGTGCACGTGCCCCTTCGGATCACTACGTTTGTATCTTTAGGGTAAATACCCAGCAGTGCAATTGCTGGGTCATAGGGTAGTTCTATTTTCAACATTTTGAGGAACCTCCATGCTGTTTTCCAGAGTGGTTGCACCAGCTTGCATTCCCACCAACAGTGTAGGAGGGTTCCCCTTTCTAAGTTTTTTATTTTTTATTTTATTTTTATTTTACTTTATTTTTTATTTTTATTTTTTTATTTTTTATGATTTTTTATTTGGAAGTAACCTCTAACCTACAGAAGCTTTTCTCTACCAGAATCACCAGTCATGAACATCTCACATTTGCTTTACCATTCTCTCTTTATATAGGTTTGTACTCAATTTTCTGGGAACATTTCGAAGTGGCAGACATCATGCCCTTGACCCCAAACACTTCCATGTGTTTTAACAAGGAGATTACAAAACCACAGTAGTCAAATTCAGAAAATGCCACATTTATATAATACTACCATCTCATCTACAGCCCATATTCTAATTTCAGGAAGGTCTCCAATAATGTCCTTTTTAAGCATTTTTTTTTTCCTGTCCCAGAACCAATCCACTCATTATATTTCATGGTCATATCTTTTCAGTCTTCTTGAAAGCAGAGCATGTCTGCCTTTCTCAGTGCTTCCCGACCCTGCCACGTTGGATGAGCCGAGGCCACTGGTGTGGAGATGGTCCCTCCGTCTGGATTTACCTGATGTTTTCTCATGAGTATATTCAGGCTGTGCATTACTGGCAGGAACGCCTGTCAAAATGATGCTATGTCCTATACTCTACTTTAATTATCCATTTAGCTGCCTTATTTGAGCCCTGGCACAGAGCTGATGTGCTAGAGGATAAGCGTCTGTTTTCTGAGCAGAAATCAGAGAGAGGAGCTGGGATATGGTTTTTGGTGGCTCTTACTAGTCTGCCACTCCTCCCTTCCACTACCACCCAAAAGACCCTCCCTGTCCCCTGCCCCCAACTCTGAAAGAGTCCTCCTGTTATGTGACACCTCCCCACTGCCACCCCGAGCTCAGTATCCCCTGCTCCCACCTGCCTGACAGCATGTTTGTAATGCTCCTGGATGCCCTTGGTTGGCAGCTGCTGGCAACAGCGCAGCAGATATCGGTAGAGCTGCAGCGGCCTCTGGACCAGCTCTGCCCCTGGTAGTGGGGCCATCTGCGAGTCTCTCTGTCCCTGGAAAACACAGAGCATTATTTCAAAGGCATCAAGCCAATCCCCGACCCTGAGCCCCCTGTTCCACGGCTCTGTGAGCAGGTCTGATACAACATGGAGGCCCAGTCCCCTTTGTGCCACACCGCACAGAACCCAGACCCTGAGCTTGGGCGGGGCATTCTGTCCTGCAGAAGCCTCAGCCCACAGTAGGCCTGCTGGGACCAGAGGCGAAATCACACAGCCTCATTCTTTCTGGAAGCCAACTTGTAGGGGGTGGGTGAGGTGGTGTCATGGACAGGCAGAGTAGGGGAGATGAGCAGGAAGATCCTGCACTGTAGACTGGGAAACCAGCAGACTACAGCCAACAAAGAGGAGAACGCCAGAGGTCTGAGCCTCACCACTCAAAGAATCGTCTTGGACCAGTAGCAGCGATGTCACCTGAGAGCTGGTTAGAAACACTCTTGCCCCAGATCTACTGGACCAAACCTGCCTTTTAACCAGATACACCACAGGATCCTGCCTGGACCTCTACCACAGCATCTTGCCTGGTGTCTGTTCCCATCTTTAGCCTGTCACTCTCCAGTCTCCTCCATGCTGACGCCAGAATGCCCACTGGAGCCAGTGGCCTCGGCTCAACCCCCCCAAACCAGCAAGTACCTCGCCTCTTGGTCTCTTGACACAAGCAGCACCTTTAGCGTCAAGCTCCCCTCCTCTTCTCTGCCATGGGGGGGAACTCATGTTCATCCTTCCAGCTCCAGACCCGTGTCACTTCCTCTAAGAAGCCCTTCCTGACTGTCCTGCCCTGAGGAGCTACAGTGCCCTGTTTTGGAGCTGTTACAGTGCTTCCCACACTGCTGAGGATTCATCTGCTGCCAGGCCTGTGGAGCCTGGCCCAGGCACCGGGGCTTCGTGCCCTGTTTGTTGAGCTAGACTGAATGGAATCTGTTATCTGCTCTGTACAGATCGCCCCTCTCAGAGAGAAGCTCACAGTGTTCCAAACGAAGGAGCTAAAAGACCAAGATTAAGTGACTGGTCTTAGTTTTAAAGTGACATAAACAGAAGAAAGACAAAAAAGAAAAAAAAAAAAAGAGAACACCCCCCCCCCCCTAAAAAAAAAAAAGAGAGAGAGAGAGAGAGAGAGAACCAGAATACTAAATCAGAGGTTCTTAAAACTACGAAAGGAAATTCATTAAGTAGCCGGTTTCAGAGGCTCCTTCATTCCATTTCCAGCATATTATCGTCCTGGCAATAATAACTGCTTGTCTCCACAGCTAAGTTTGCCAATGCCTCCCAGTACTCTGGACTCCCGCCATGACACCGGGGCGGGCAGTTGGTGGTCTGCCCCCTATCTCAACCTTCCCCCCTTCTGCTAACAGCCCGGGACGTGTGACTGTAGATCCACCTCTCCCCCGGTCTCTGCCCACAGGTCAGGGGCTCCACGCCAGGTCTGACCAATCAGAGTTCTGCATCCACGTGGTCACAGGGATTGGGTCACAGGTGGGCACATGACGGAAGCTGGCCCAATCAGAATGCATCCCACTGCCTCTGCGGGGGTGGCCGGGAAGGCCTCCATTTTTTTCCCTCGATACTTGCTGCTGCAGGGATTTGTGCCTCTCTCCAGGGCGCCATCTTGCCGCCTCTGGAAGCCTGAGGCTGAAGCCACACAGCAGCAGGCAGAGCTGAGGGTGTGAGGGAACCAAGTCTGAAGAATTCGTCTGAACCGTCCACCCGAAGGCAGTCCCACCCCTAGACTTTGACCCAATTAGTAATGCCCTTTGCCAAAGCAGCTTGGGTTTGTTACTCTGTCACTTGCAACCCAGAGAGTCCTAACTGATGGACAGATCTTGACCTCTCAAACTCTGCTTCCACGATGAGGTCTGATGCTTCCAGCTCTAAGGAACAGTACAAACAAGGCAAGGCCCCTAAGGTTCTCCTGCCATGAATATCAACCTGCCAGTCTGACTAGCTGTACTAAAGCACATCCCCCCCCCAAAAAAAGAGGGGGACCCCATACAATGAGGGCAAAGACCTTCAAGGACCACTAGAGAGGACATACCACCGAAGTCCCCACCTGATGGGCCGACTCCACTGGCAGGCTTCCCCAAACTATATAAAGTGCTAATCAAATATTGTAAAATGCTAGTCGTGTAACAGATGGTTACCATCTGCAGGCTTCAAAATTAACATTTGGAAAGAGCACAACTTTGTTTCAGTAGATAAAAACCCAAGCAATACTTAGAAACCAACCCAGCAAGTATGGGCGGGAGATTATTTTCAGCTCAATTATAATACTTAGTCATTCTCAGTAATAAGTAGCAGAGAATGCATGTGTGGGTCCACTCAGAAGAGTTAAACTAAAAATGCTTTAATTTAATTTAAAGTGTGGGTTTGCTATTAAGGGGCAATGAACTTCACAGCATCATTGGTAAAACTGTAGTCAAACTCTGTAGCCCCTAACCATTACCTGGCGTATCTTGCTCTTTGCACTTGACTTTAGCCTCTCCTGAGCTCCCTGCCTCTGTGAAGGTACCTCTGTCTTCTCAGGCAACCAAACCAAAAGCATCACTAAGCCAACCTATACTTCTCTTCCTGCCTCAACCTCACGCCACTGTTTCTAAGTCCTATCAAATTCTACCTCTGAATGACCCCTCACATCTGTCCCCACCTCTCTATTCCCACTGCACATCCTTGCTTCAGGCTCTTATCAGAGCTCCCATGGACAACAGCCAGAATTCTGAGCAGGTCTCCCTATCTTCCAATCTATTCACCACTCAATAGCCATTGAATCTTTCCAAAACCTAAATCTCAGCATGGCATGTTCCTGCCTAAAACCCCAGATCTGATATCCACCCCTAACCCTGTCACTCATGACAACTCTCCCCAAATGTAGGAAAACTGTGGAATTATTTTAAGCAGTATATGGGTCAACATCTTTTTATTGTAAGGATTTTATATTTATTTTCATGTGTAATAAAAAAAATCCCATAATTTCATAGGTAGTGTGGCTTAAATGTTTTAAAAAGGAATAGGCATAAAACTGGTATTTTTAAATATATCCAGCAAAGAAGAATGCAGCTGAGATGTGGATATGAGAAAAATCATGAAAGTGGTACTAAGCTTTGGAAAGCACTGGCCTATGGAACAAAGTCCATACTCCTTCCTCCAAGGCCCCTGCCCACCCCTCAACCCTTCTCCCACCACTCCCCCCAAGAGTCCAGGCAAACTGAGCTCTGAGTGGCACATTCCATGAGTCTATGTCCTGTTTGCCTGTTATAGTCTCTGCACTGTGACAAAATGCCTGGCATATAGTAGAAGCATTAGAGTTCTCCAGAGACACAGAACCAATAGAATATACAGAGAGAATATATCTATGTTATATTCATATGTGTATACTATTTATAAGGAACTGGCTCACGTGATTACTGAGGCTGGCAAGTTTGAAATCTCACAGAGCAGGTGCCCCAGTTTGAGTCCATGTCAAACCAGGAAGAGCCAATGTCCCAGGCTGAAGGCCACCAGCCAAGAAAATCCTTTCTCACTCAGGGGAGTGTCAGTCTGTTGTTGTATTCAGGACTTCAAGTGCTTGGAGGAGGCCCGCCCACATTAAGGAGGGCAATCTGCTTTACTCAGTCTCCTGATTTAAATGTTAATCTTGGGTGCCTGGGTGGCTCAGTGGTTTAAGCCTCTGCCTTCAGCTCAGGTCATGATCCTGGGGTCCTGGGATCGAGTTCCGCATCGGGATCTCTGCTCAATGGGGAGAGCTTCTCCCCCCCTCTCTCTGTCTGTCTCTCTGCCTACTTGTGATCTCTCTCTGTCAAATAAATAAATAAAATCTTTAAAAAAAAATGTTAATCTCATCCAGGGGCACTTGGGTGGCACAGTCAGTTCAGCATCCAACTCTTGGTTTCTGCTCAAATCATGAGCTCAGGTCATGAGAACAAGCCCTGGGTTTGACTCAACGCTCAGTGCAGGGTCTGCTTAAAAGAATTCCTCTCCCTCAGCACCCCCCGCCCCTCTCTCCCCTGTTTAAAAATAAATGTTGTTAATCCCATCCAAAACACCCTCACAGACGCACCTGGGCATCTCATGGCCTGGTCAAGTTGACGTATAAATGGAACCATGAGAGTAGATGCTTAATATTTATGTGTCAAATGAATCCTCCCACTCTTGCCCACAGTCTGCTTCCTGCAGGTCTCCTGATCCTACAACACTCAGATGATAGGTACAGCACCTCCTCCTGGAAGCTTTCACTGACCCACCATCCCTGCTACCATGTTTAATGGGAGACCTCTGGAGTACCTCAAACAGGCCTCGTGACCCCACATCACTCTAGTTCGGGCTTCATCATGTGTTACCTGCATTACTGGGAGGGTACCTGCCTGCCCTTGGCCCCCTTCCAGCCATCCTCCACATGGCAGCCACAACGCCTTGTTAAACACCTTACTTCAAATCCTCCCACAGCTGGATGTGACGGGATATTGTGAATTATTATCAACTATGAATTTTCTCAGGTAGAACAACAGTGCGTCGTGTGGGAGAATGTCCTCATTCTCGGGAGCCATGAGTGGAAGGAAGTGTTTAGGGTTGATGTGTCATCACGTCTGCAACTTACTTTCACATGGTTCCACAAGAGGCAACACAAAAAGAGAAAAGATGGGTGAGAAAGATGTGGTGAAATGTTAAGATCGTGTTTAGAGGGCAGGAATAAGGGTGGACCTTGTGCTATTATTTCAATTTCTCTGTATTTTGAAATTTTTTTTGTAACTTAAAGTTATTTTAGAAAAACCGTTCCACGGCTTTCTCCTTACCTAGGGAATAAAGTCTTAAACTCGTGAGGCTGGCTCACTAAAGCCTTCTTGCCCACCCAGAGTCACCCCTCAGTACTCCTCCACCTGCCAGGCACACTGACACACCACCTGTGGTTCCTTTAGTAATAATAACAAATCCTGAGCACTTAGGATGATTACGATCACAGCCTTACTGAGTATGTAGTGTGGGAGAGACACTATTCTAAATGATGCACATGAATTAACTCCGTCTTCACAATAATTCATCAAGGAGGTTCCATTATGCTGTCCTTTTACAGATAAAGAAACAGAGGCAAGAAATTTGTCCAAGGTCACAGAGCTCTGAGCGCAAAAGCCAGGATTTCCACCTGGGAAGTCCGGCTCCAGAGTCCAGATGGGTGCTACTCTTCCTAACGGCACCCCCCTCCCCAATTTCTTTTTAAGGAATGACTTCTTCCCATTGAGTCTGGCCTGCAGAAACTATTGTCTGTGGCTCCATCTCTCCTGGCCAACAAGGAGAACATGAGACCCAGGCGAGGCCAACTGAGTACTCCCCATCTCTGGAAATGGGCTCTCGAGCAAGGTTACAAAGAACCTGAAAATGAGTTCATGTGCTCTAGCAATGGCTGCATGACGAGCCTCTTCCTGCTCTGAACTGTCCTTGTAGCTCCTGCCTCCTGGCCTTCCAGAAATGTCTAGACTCCTGCCAGGTTCTCCAGCCTTCTCCCTTGATTCTGTGAGCCCTTAACACTCTTCCAGGAAATTTCTTTTTGGTTAAGTCTTCCTGTCTCCTCTTCCTCCCCACACAGAACTAGACTCTCTCCCTGATCTGTTTGCCCACAGCCTGTTGTGCCTGCTTAGATCAGCGGGAATCACCTGGGCTCTGAGTGTTTGCCTCTCAATCTTCTCTGACCAGACAGAACTCCCCTGAGGACAGGAACTGTGTCCGATTCCCCCATCTCTATTCTCTCAGTGCCAGCACAGTACAAGCTGGTACCAAGCACACTCCTCGATCAATGCTTCCTAGCTGATGAACCTCAGAATCTTCCAAGCCCTGAGTTCTCCTGCCCATCACCTCTGGCAGCAACATCCTCCCTTTCCTGC